GTTCTCTAAAGGCTGAGTGTGGGGGGGGGAGTGGGGGGGTGTGGAGGTGGGGGTGTGGAAATGGGGGGGGGGGGGGTAGGAGAGAGCTACAAAATAAATTCACAAGTGTTCAGCTGTGTACTTGCAAAAGTCTGAACTCTTTATCTTAGCGTTAACCGAAACTCCTGCGGGAAGTTTCACTTGTTTGTCCACTTCTGGATCTTGTTCCAGAAGTTTAGTCTAGCGTGTATATCTGTTTTACAGATGTTAATTTTGTGAGTGTTGTGTGCAAACGTTGGTTCCTCAGATAGGGTGAAGCATATGGTTCCTGACCTGGAGCAGTGGAATCATAGTACGCTAGAAGTTCAGGGTATACAGATGGATAGCAGCTGTACTGCATGCACGTATGATAGTCTTCGACCTGGGTATATGAACCTCAGAACCATGTAATATCGCCTGGGACTACCCCAGGTTTCTGCAATTTTACCAGTGCTCTTCAATGTGTATACAAGCAAGATTGCAGAACTTAAAGTACTAGGCGTTGGAAGGATGTTGACATTAGCTGATGATGTTTTCTTTTTTTTATATAGGCAGGGGGAGTGATAGGCAACGGACAGCACAAGAGCTACAGGCAACTGTAGACTAAGCGACTGGCTGACTGGTGTGCAGAAATGGGTGCTGTCATAAACGTTAGCAAAGATGGTTGTTTTGTGGTGCTCTCTGGACAATAGAATTGTAAGAGCTAATGTTCCAAGCCTCACAATTAATAAAAGTAACATCACAAGAGAAAGCAAAACTGAGGTACCTGTGTATCATTTTCAATAGAAGCCTGTCCTATAGGGATCACGTGGAGACAGTTGCGGTGAAACGCCAAAAAGGACTTAAGGCTCTGAAGGTTATGACTTGGAACAAAGAATTCTGTTCACAATGTTCCAGCGTGTGATCCTGTCGGTGGTAGATTATAGACTTGGAATGTTTACCATATCAAAGAGTCAGCTGATGAAACTTGAACGCATACAAAATAAAGCCATGCGGGTAATTCTGGGATGTACAAAAGATACCCCTGTAGTATGCGATATACACTTGCAATGCCTACTACTGCAGAAAGCTTAATGTTCTGCACGCAAAGTAATATCTTAGAGTAGCTGCAAAAAAAAAAAAAAAAGAAGCACCTCCTGAACGAAGCCCTAGTAGAGCTAAGGGTCATAGACTGAAAAAAGGAAGGTCTTGGATTGCGCAAGCTGAAGACACAAACAGACTTGTGTGCAGGCTTGGTAAATTAGTACGAGGTGATGAGTGAGTCAAAGTGTCCCAGCAAGTTTGAGACTTGTGTAGGGTTCTTACCACTTTGGTTCGGTAAGTGCAGGACTGGCCAGCTGGCGCTTCAGAATCAGAAATTCACCAAATGATTCATGACAATTCCCGCCCAAGTGATGTGATCATCTATACAGATGGCTCTGTGTTGGGGGGCAGACGAAGTGCATGGGACTTCATAGGAAAAGCGAATCGACGTCGCTTAGTGCAACAAAGCTTGTATATGATATCGCAACGTCTAGTATGAGAATTGAGACGGAGGCAATCATTGCTGCATTTCGCTGGCTTGAGAATTAGCTGTACAAACATCACGTGATTGTAACGGACTCATACATCATGTTGAGAAAATGGAGACAGGTATGATCCGTGCAGAGTGGCAATCATCACTTCAGAGGTCCTGGGTAGTTAGCATCCTTTGGATATTCTCTCCAGGTTATGCCTGTGTGTTGGGAAATGAACAGGCAGATAGACTGTCCGGTTCTGCACCACTTGGTTGTGAACTGATGTCTCTCTAGCGTAGTTGGTTAAACCTGACTTTCGCGGCGGCCGGGTGACGAGCTCCATGTGGTCCGGGTTCAAATTTCTCCCAGATTAACGATACCTATAATGGAATCAAGGCCGAAGGGTTGCGATATCTATGTACCGAGCCAAAGGGTTTACAACTCATGGTTTCTGGATACTTAAAAAAAAAATGACAAGCTTGATATTGAGAGCGAGTGAACAGTGCGGAAGCGCAAATAGGTCACTACGGTATGAGGAGAATTTCGTTGCGAGGGGTTGCCAGTGGGTTTGGCCGATGCATAACACTGAAGGGAAAGGCGAGACGGATATACAATCTGACAGCTAGTGGTGCCATCGAAATAGGAACTCTTCCTTTGCTGCTGAAGATGGGGACGGCGCGCTTATGGGAGTGTCCCAAGTGCTATGACATCGATTCTTAATTTAACATTCAACATTCAGGCAGATCTACTTCGATTTCGAAGGAAACGCACATAATTAATCCTCCATTTACCACATGTTTGTTGGGGGCAGTAAATCCCACCTCCCCCCTACCCCCCTCCTTTACAGAATGGGGCTAAAGTGGGCATCACTAAAGATTAAGACAACAATGTTTGGTTAATACAAGACGATAAACAATGAAACTCCCATGTTTGTCCACTTCAGTATACTTCCATTTTTATATTTCGTCAGTCCCCCTCCCCCCCCCCCCCCCCCCCCGTCAAAATGTGGTGCATGATCTTCACCCGAAAAGTCAATATTCTTCCCTCCTCCAAAGTGGCCGGCGGGTCATCAGACGTGGAAAAAGAAGATGATGGCCTGGTTGCAAGTGCTGAAATTGGGCAATGGCTGTCTTCTTGGGCAAAAAAAAAGAGAGAAGAAAAATGCAGGGTTGGAAACGGATTAAACCATTGTTAATTAATCCATATCGGAATCATTCGTTTGATATTAGTCCGTTTTAATATTTGATCATGCCCCCCCCCCCTCCCCTTTTCCCCTCAGGAAGGGAAGAATAACGAATACTGGCGCTCCATTGTATATGGTT